TGAGACTTACAGCGCGCGCACAAAAGCTTTTTCGGAAGACACCTGTGAAAGTTTGGAGGAACATTAAAAAAACACTGTGGTATTGTCTCACTTCCACAACCGGAGATGGCGAGATTTAGACAATAATATGCGAGGAGGCCCTATATTTAGCGCTGCAGCACGAGCGTGCCTTCGCCCGCGAGAAAGTTTGAGGATTTTAGCAATACGGGGCGGCGGGAAGTTTTAGAGGGGTCTGGCACGAATAATTTGCCAGGAGAGGGAATGGTGAAAAGTTGTTTCCACTACACCGTTGCATTTTGGCGCTCAAAGTATCACATTACGTCTCTCTCTCTCTCTCTTCTTAGCATGGATAAGTTACGGCTCTTTCCTCGACACTGAGGTCTTCAGGGTAAGTGTTATGCTCACCAAATTTCTATTGTGATAATTTTACGTTTTTTTCCTCTTACAATCGTTATTTCTTATCCCTCTTGAAAACTGCGCGGTGAAACGTTGCATACAACGCGCTCGATTTCAATGCCTAATTATTTGTGTTTGGTAAAATTTGTGCACAGCCTCATACTATTGTAAAACAAATCTGTTTTCCCAATGGCAATGTATTGTTTTTGTCATTGTTTTCTCTATCCAAGAACTGATTGCATAGTGTAGTATGGGGCTGTGCGGAAATTTTACCTTTGTGTTTATCAGATTGTTTATCTAACGTTTTTTCAAAGTACTTCATATTAGCGGTTCTACATTTTAAATGTAGATATGTCAATAAGCGATTTCTAGCAAGAAGGATGTAGCGCCTTGAAGGGTAAGATTTCCGCACAGTCCACTGATTCTGCGTTTTTCCACAAAGTTCTTGCATAACGGAAACGCACTAGCAAAAATAGTAGATTGCCTTTGGAACTCCTTTACGGCTTTGTTTCAGAATATTCTGGGGCTATGCAAAAATCTTTCCTCTTTTCGTACAAACGCTAAGGAGAGATGTTGTCTTCGAGCATATTCTACGTCAAAATTGCTTTGCCAGCGTTATAACTAACGGTTCGGCTTAACTATTGTGTTAATCCAAGTGAATGATCAATTTTCAGTTCCCTGGGTTAAAGCCCACCTGTGTTAGCTAAGGGATTGTCTGTTATATCAGCTAACTTCTAACATCTGTTATATCAGCTAACATCATTTCAGCTAACGTTATGTCCTGGCAATTGCTGAGGGAATTGCAAAGGTGAGACTTAATGAAATTTACCTCAACTCAGCTAGGATCCTTGAAAAGAATTTGTCTGGGATTGTGAGGCTATTACATGAATATCTGACCTTCAGAATGCTCTTACTGGAAGAAGTTTCCATTTATTGAAACAATCTTTCCCTTTCACTGATTAAATTGTTTTAAATCACATACACATTGTAAAACTCAAGCTAGACATACAATGTTATAGTCTACTGACCAAAAACTACTCTTTTTCACAATAAATATGTGCATGAGTAATGATAATAATAATGGCAATCAAAACTATAACAAAATTCTCAAACATGGTTGGTTAGCACCAGTCCTATTTGAGTACCAATAGGTCATGCCTGTGTTTGTGTCACATGTGTGCTGTTGTTGCACTTTTTGCTAAGTTATCTGTTGTTTTCTATGAAAAGGTATAACCAAGGGCTAGTTTGTTTCTAGAATGTTGTCATAGTTTTGATTAATTGGTAACAGGACTTCAAGCTGTCCAATTCTGTCTCTAATCATACTTGTGATTAACAAATTTGTCATTCACTTCAAATTTGTCATGGATTTTTTGGTATCACTTTCACAACTAGACTTCATCAGACCCCACTCAGTCCTATCATCATTATACTTATAATGATAACCAAAGTAATAACAATAATGATGAGATACTTGAGGTTAAGTGAATTTTCTACAGATGTTTCATGTGTTCCCGTGATGAAATGAGTAAAATCTTAGGAACTTTTTAGTTGTAAATATATAGAACTAAATTTGTGAATGATGGTGTAAGAAAGAATTTGTTTTTAGATCATGTTTTAAAATGTAACTTAATTTATTTACTTAAATAAGCACCTCCCCCCTGAATATGTGCAGCATCACCTGTGCAGCACTTATTCTATTAATTTTTTCTGTCATGAGCTGCAATGACTCATGCACATTCTGATATCTTAAGGCAATTAGAAGCAAATCATTTTGAATTGGAAAGTGACAACAGGCTGACTGCTCCTCGAAAAAGACGGAGAGGTATGTAAACGTATGTGCATTGTTATGAAGCCTGGAACTTTTGTAGTAGGGTTAATCTGTGGGTTTCTTGTTAGTTTTCACAAGCAACAGTTTGAATCTCAGTTGGAGGTGTATGTTAGGACCTTGTGACAAACAAAATTTCAAAAATTTTCTAGATTTAGTTGTACTTGTGAATGTGGAGACAACAATTATTTTGATCAAATTTTTGTAAGATTTCCTGTAAGAAAAAACCTAAATTATGCCTTACAGAGTTGTAAATGTATAACATGATGATTTTCCTAAACTAATGGGGCTATTAAAGAAGTTTTGAAGAGTTAACCCTTCAACTCCCAGATCAAATTTGTAATTCTTCTTACTGTCAATAATACAATTCTTATAATGTCACTTCAGAGAATTAAGTATTGGATCAACTAATTATCTCCAAATTGATATTTTCTTTCATTCTCGTCACTTATTTGGTTGATATTGTATTGATAATGTAAGGAGAAATTCTGTCTTGGTCACTCATGGGAGTTAAAGGGTTAACACTTAAGGCTACGTAATCTGACTGGTAATCCTTCACATAAATAAATAGTAGTCCGGACCATGTAAGGGTCTCATTTATCAGCCATTTTACTGGTGTTGTGTCCTATTTCCTCTTTGTTAAAGATTTGTCAAATACTCTCTCATGTGGTCAAATCAAACTAGTCTGAATCTGTTCTGACCCAAAATTACTACTGTATTACTACATTCGCTTTTTATCTGAAAGTTTAGTTTCTTTTGTACTTAGTGGGTCTGGAATCTAGTGATTCAGAGAGCTCAAGTCCAGAGACAGATGACTCAGTTTCCAGATCTGATGGGAGCTCAGACACAAACACAGACAGTTACACAGAGGAAGAGAACTTTGGTCTTATAGAGGAGAAACCTATTCTAGCTAAACAAAAAGGTAGAGCTGTGTATATTTACATGTATATAATGTACATGTTGCTTACAAAGGCATGTCATCACAATCAGTTTGTTTAAGCATGCTTCACAATCCAATCATTCTTTAACTACACTCAGAGGCATTATGAAAGCAAAAAATTAATGCCAATTTGCTTTGCTTTAATATTTTTTAATTCTGGGAGAGTTTTGGTGTAACCTTCGTTGTAGATTTCTGAGTTTAAAATGTCATTGAAATTAATACTAAATGCATCTTTTACGTCAAAAGGCTTTTGTTGCTGGCTAAGTCTATTTAAGAGTAAAAGACCTATATTCAATGAAAACTAATGAAAAAGCTCAATTACGGTACCAGAGACACATAATTTGCCTCCTAAATTTCACCTGAACTTTTTGAAATAACTTTTGTAATTCACTCCAAAGTATGAATTATTTTTTTATCAAGAGTCAGTTAGAGTCTGTTACAGTTCCTAAGGGCTGTGGATAAAAACTTCACTATTTTGGAAATTTAGCCTGAAGGTAGAAGAGGAAAAAACTGGTGTAAGGCTAAGTGCGTGTTTGTGCTACATGTACACATAGCTACCTGCTCTCTTGCACCAAGACCCATGTGAAAGATATGCTCTTAGAGCTCAGATATATGCTCTCAAAAGCTTTCAAAAAGCAAGTTTTACATTAATTGTACAATGACATAAATAAGTTGCCTCACCTCTGGTACCAGGGCTCTATAAGAACATGGTCATGCTTTTGTGGGTAGTTAGTGCTAATTTCCAGATTTTATTTCAGAATTAACTTCCAATTTAATCATAAAGTACTTTGAATAGTCAATTTTGCATGTGCACAATTAGATACCAATTAACAAGAATGTGGTTGAGAGTGCCTTTCTCAGTAATAATTTGTTATACTAACCTTGCTAGGTCTCTTGTCTCTTTTGTAACAAAGTTAACCTTAGCTTTTACCCTCAAACAACCCTGAAATGGACTATTCTCAAACACAACAAGCCTTACAATTCCATCAGTGAGCTGTATCAATTTAGTATTCTTTTTTAAGTATGTGAGATATTGTAAGCACTGAACTCTTGTGAACCTTATCTATTCAAGTTTCCAAGAACACCATCACCAAAAAGCAGACAGCTAGAGCTTCCAACACAACAAATAAAATGGAGAAGAATGAAAAAGGTAACAATTTTTCTTACATCGTTTATGGCAAGTGTTCCAGGCTCAGAGGGTCAGTGGAGACAAAAAGAGAGCACTGAAGGTTGCTATTTGCATGCTTGCTTTCCCCATCCACTGATTAAAAGCTTGGCAAAGGCTAGTTCCTTTTTTTAAAAATTATGGTCATTAAATACAGTACTGTAATAATTCAATGAAATAAATCTTTAGATAAGTTATATTCTTTATTCATTGCATGCGGGTTCATGAAGAAGTAATTGCAGTTTTAAGATGGAACACCAACTGACTTACCTCAGTATAATAGTACATATTAAAATTATTAGTGCATGCATGCCTGTTCTTGGCTTTGTCTTACATTATGAAGCAAAAGTATTTTGGAGTTACGACATTTGAATAACAAGCACAATGTTGCCATTCTTGTGTGAAGAGCTCAGTACAAAAAAGTCACAGAGGTAATATCATTGGTAATGAGAGAAGCAGTTTCTTTAGTTATGTGTAGAATCTGTTTTTGTGTGGGTGTTTTTTTTTTTACCTAGTTTGATGTTGTGTTTTTATATTCAGCTATGTGCCATTATTTAATTATGCTGGACTATTTTTTAAGGTGCATCTGTGGAAATTCCTGCTAAAAAACCAATAGCTCAACCTAGGAAAAGAAAGATTAGCAAGGAGAATACAGGGAAAGGTAACTTATTTATTAAGATCAGCACTATTAGATAACTTCAAGTCAGATTAAATCCTTGTATAGGACTTTGTCTATAATAGTAATTGAACTGAGTGGAGTGCAATTTGGGCTGAAATAATACGCGTGATTTCAAAATCAATCGAGCATGCAGCGCGAGTTCAATTTGAAATCACAAGTATGATTTCAGACCAAAATTGCACAACATGAGGTTCAATTACCATTTTATTAAGTCCATTTTGAAATCGCCCAAACGCAGGACTTGTTCACTTCAAATATTTTATTGATGCAGTACTGAGCCAGTTTGAAATTAAATTTATCCATTTTTTGGGGGGGGGG